TTATATGATAAACATATATTTTTTGAAATTGACGAAAATGAAACAATAAATTACAATAATTAATAAAAAAAATAGTCGACAAAATTGACGAAAAACAAATTATAAATTACAATAATTAACAAAATAAATCTCTCTACTCCAACAAATCTATCAATTAATGCCACATAAATTGGGACATGGCAAATAACATATATTATTAAAAAATTACGTTCAAAATGTACTATAAAATACAATAATTAACAATTTAATATATTAAAGAGACATATAAAAAAGGGTTAATATTTGAAATTCTGCATCTGCCACATAAATTAGAACAAATAGATTAATAAATATTATTTTCAAAATTATGTTAAAAAAAGTACTACAAATCACAATAACTAACAATTTAAAATATTTTTAAAATCATATAAAAATTTCAATAACTTTTCAAATTCCATAATATGACATAAATTTAAAAAAAAAGTGTTATAAATCATAATAAATAGTACAATATTTTAACTACTTTAAAAGTATTATAAATTGTAATAAATAATACAACAATTTAAATTACTTATTACTTAAAATTTAACGACTTAAAAATATTTTTTTAAATGTATTAAAATTTTGGTTAATTGTCAAAACTTTACATGTGCCACATAAATTGGGACATGGAGAGTCCCACATATTTTTTTTAAAAAATTACATTAAAAGTATTCTATCAATTAACAACATATATTGTTTGAAATTGACGGAAAAAAAAACTATAAATTACAATAATTAACAAAATAAATCTCTCGACTCCAACAAATCTATCAATTAATGCCACATAAATTGGGACATGGCAAATAACATATATTATTAAAAAATTAGGTTCAAAATGTACAATAAAATACAATAATTAACAACTTAATATATTAAAGAGACATATAAAAAATGCTTAATATTTGAAATTCTGCGTGTGCCATATAAATTAGAACAAACAGAGTAATAATTTTTTTTTTCAAAATTATGTTAAAAAAAAGTACTACAAATCACAATAGCTAAAAATTTAAAATATTTTTAAAATCATATAAAAATTTCAATAACTTCTCAAATTCCATAATATGACATAAATTAAAATAAAAAAATATATCTATTGGGCCCCGTGCTGGCACGGGGTCCTATATCTAGTAGATTGAGATGACCAAGAATGTGTAATTTAGGGAGAATATAACTTGTTTAATCAATATCAACAAGATTAATAACGAGTGTAAAATGAAATGAAATTAAACAATAAAGTAAAAGAATAGAAATACCTTGAGGTCCGATGCTAGAATCTGGTTGTGGCATTGCGCAAGTTTGATGTTGTTGATAATGAACAAAACAATGAATAACAAAGCTTAATAGAGCTATTTTTGTGGAACGCGACATTCATGAAGACACTCATCGACTCACGTCTGCGATTGTTATGCAACTTTAGGGGAGGAAAATCGCGGATCTTTTGGTACTGATTGGATTTCATTCTTATCTTGTCCATGTATAGTTCATGTATGGCTCTAGAGCTAAGCGGCCGGGCTTGTGAATGTATAAGTGTAGTGAATTTGGTTGCTTCCTTCGGTCACAGTTGAGGATATGTTTAATATCACATTCTGCTTGAGTCTGACCTAACTCGTCACTTCCTCCACGTATCTTTTTTTTATTCGATGCCAGGCTTGACTTATTTACAAACATAGTGTTTAATTGACCGTGGTAAAAAGAATTGCCTTAAAATTTTAAAATAGTGTTTTGACGGTTATCTTAAATAATATTTGTATAAATTATGTACGAATCAATGCATTATTTTATGCAGAGTATAATATGAAATGTATATTAACATAGCGCGATTAATTGTGGAAAACTACTCCTTTAAAGTATATAATTCATATATAACATTAATCTCTTCAGTATTAATTACCGCATAATAATCTTCACTATTAATAATCACATAAACAACCTCTACATTATAATACATCTATAACAAAGTATTTACTTTATACATACAATTGACCGTCTTTATCCAATTTTAATAGTTATAATACATAAATAGATACTTAAATTTAAGCTCAACTTGTTAGTTTTATCTAATTTAATCTTCATGTTTTCTAATCGATGTCTTTGAAAACCAAATGTAGTAAAGAAAAATATATAAGTATTGACCTTATTGAAAGTTTCAATAGGAAAGGGAACGGAACTAGGGACGCAAGGTAATACCAAACAAGATATTAGTGGCGACTTGTATAGGTATTAGCAGCGACTATTGTTGCCACTAAAACATACTATAGTGGCGACTTTTATAGGTATTAGCAGCGACTATTTTTGCCACTAAAACACACCTTTAGTAGCGACTTTTATAGGTATTAGCAGCGACAATTGTTGCCACTAAAACAGACTATTAGTGGCGACTTTTAAGGTATTAGCAGCGACTATTTTCGCCACTAAAACACACTATTAGTGGCGACTTTTATAGGTATTAGCAGCGACTATTGTTGACACTAAAACATACTATTAGTGGCGACTTTTATGAGTATTAGCAGCGACTATTTTCGCCACTAAAACACACCTTTAGTAGCGACTTTTATAGGTATTATCAGCGACTATTTTTGCCACTAAAACAGACTATTAGTGGCGACTATTATAGGTATTAGCAGCGACTAATTTTGCCACTAAAACATTCTTTTAGAGCCGACTATTATGAGTATTAGCGGTGATTATTCTTGCTACTAAAACAAATTATTAGTGGCGACTACTATATGTATTAGCAGTGAAAGTAGTGACTTTTTTTGTAAAGTAGTGACTTTTAAAAAGGATAAAATGAATAATAATCGTGATTTGTGAGGGAGTCGCATAAGGGAGTCGGTTGTTGTAAAAAGGCGCAACGTTTATGAAGAGCGGCAAGAGTGGTTAGAAAATGCACGGGAGTAGCGGCGATTGAAGGCTGAAACTACGTTCCTATTGTAGAGAGGAATGACAGTTTTGGAAATAAATAAAAAGAGAATCTTTGTTTCTGGTGACGCCACATCGCCGGATTGAGGGTTCTCTTTTATATATATACTAGTAAAATTATCCGTGTCTCGCGCGAAAATTTAATATCACGAAATTTATAAAACAATACTTAAAACATATCAGTCATTAAAATTAAAACATTATATTATCTTACATACATAATTACATAGTAACGAACATTAATAATATAAAGAAAAATGAAAATTATAATATCTTATCATTTATCCTTAATAACATAAGCATATTTATATGATTGTAAAAAAGCATATCAGAATCTATAAAAATAGAATGAAACAGAAAGGAAAAAATTGAGTCCACTGAATGCACAATGGCCCCTTATGAAAATTATTCCCCTCTAGTACCCGATGTTTAAATGAATAGATTCTCTCAAAATAGAACAATTTTATTCAACATTGTATTGATACAAAAATAATGATGTAAGTGAGCTACTCATCATGAGCAAAATACACGAATATTTAATATTTAATTATGCAAAAGAAGAAGTAGTAGTTCAAATTTTTCGTTGTTAATAACGTCTTATCAGTTATCCTTAATAACATAAGCATAAATTAATTATTGTAAAAAACATACCAGGATCTGTAACAATAGAATGAAACAGAAAGTAAAAAAATTGAGCTTACTGAATGCTTAATGTCCCTTTATGAAAATTATTCTCCTTTAGTACCTGGTGTTTAAATGAATATATTCTCTCATGATAGAACGATTCTATTCACCAGTGTATTGATACAAAAATAATGGTGTTAGTGAGCTACTCAACAGGAGCAAAGTACATGAATATTTAATATTTAATTATGCAAAAGAAAAAGAAGCAGTAGTTCAGAATTTTTGTTGTTTTAAAATGAGAGGAAATGTCGTTATTTATAGTGAAACAAAGGGTAGTGTGAACAAATGTTTATTGTGTCTTATCGGAAAATGTCACAACTATTTGGAAACGTTGCAACCCTTCGAAAATGTCATAACATTTCATAAAAGTCACAACTTTTCATAAAAATCACAAATTTTCATAAAAGTCGTAATTGTTCATAAAAGTCACAACTTTTCATGAAAAGGGAAGGCTAGTTTTGAAAATAAATAAATTAAAAGGGAATCCTGCATTGTAGTGGCATCACATAGGCGTACCTAAGTTCTCTTTTATATACATTCTAGGTAAATTACCCGTGCTTCGCACGGGATTGGACTCTTTTATTAAGCTTACATATGATTATTAGGTAATATCTGTATTTTGAATACATACTCTACATTGTTAATAATATTTTATCTTAAGGCAAAACATTCCTCCGAAATCTTAAAAGTGTTATATTAATAACATAAGCATAAACTAATGTCTGTAAAAAAACATAGCAGGATCTGTAACAATAAAATGAATTAAAAAGGAAAAAATTGAGCCCGGTGAATGCACAATGTCCCCTTAAGAAAATTATTCTCCTCTAGTACCTGAGGTTTAAAGGAATAGATCCTCTAAGGATAAAACGATTTTATTCAGCAGTGTATTGATACAAATACAATGGTGTAGTAAGCCACTCAATATGAGCAAAATACACGAATATTTATTTGTGTAGAAGAAGAAAAAAATGTTCAGAATTTTCGTTATTTTAAAATGAGAGAAAATCCATCTTTTTATAGACAACAAAGGAAAGTGTCAGCAAATGTTTATTGTGTGCTTTATCGAAAAGGTCACAACTCTTTGGAAAAGTTACAATCTTTCATAAAAGTCACAACGTTTCATAAAAGTCGCAACTCTTCATAAAAGTCACAATTTTTCGTAAAAGTCACAGTTTTTCATTAAAGTCGCAACCGTTAATAAAAATCACAACGTTTCATGAAAGGGGAATGTTAGTTTTGAAAATAAATAAATTTTAAAAGGAATCCTGATTTGTGATGGCGCCACGTAGGCGAACCTAAGATTCTCTTTTATATATATATGATTATTATTATTATTATTACTTTTAATAAAAAACATTTGATTTTTTTTAATAATCGTTATGTCCGGTCAATTTTTTTATGCGTCAATTAATTTAGGGAATATTTATTATCAACAAAAATCCGTGTTGGATCAGTTCCACGTGTATCCACAACTACCAGCCTTTGCATTCTTCTTCATCGACCAAAATTGTCCAATTTTAGCTATGAGTTTTCCGGTGAGTCCTCTTCTATTTGCTAATTTTTCCGGTGAGTTCTCTTCTATTAGCTAAGAATTGAATATTGTTAACTCTTTTGGTAAACTATTTGTATCCTATCTGTTTGATAAATTTCCTGAATGAAATCAGTTTTTTCATTAAATTTTTAGATGTTGCTTTGTTCAAAACTTTAGCTGAAAGAATCTGAGTATAACAAGGATTAAACTAAACAAGTAATCAAGGTGTTTGATTTTTAGTATTTTGTAGGCATAAAAAGAAGAGGAAATACAAAGGTATAGTTCATATAAGTTATTTTATAAAACTATTCAACTTCATTTGTACACTACTAGAAACAAAGGTTTTTCCACCGCAAATCAGTGGGAAATTTGTACTATAGCATATGATTTCCACCGAATCAGCTTACTGGGAAAATGCACGATGGAAAACAGAATCTCACTGAAATAGTGGGGATATAATGATTTTTTAGTAGGGGATAGATTCTTTATTTTCTTCAATTATACATGTTAGATAGTTCTTCATAAACACATATTTTTGTGGAGCTACTCCGGTCCTCATTTAATGACATGAAATTTCTTCACTTCTGTTTTTCTTCTTTCAAAACTGCTTTCTGTTATTTTTACTTGAGCCGGGGGTCTGTTGGAAATAGCCTCTCGGGTAAGGTCTGCGTACACAGTATCATCTCCAGACACCACTTGTGGGATTATATTGTGTATGTTGTTGTTGTATTTTCCTTTGCTATCACTTTTTGATTTATTGGATTGAAGAATGGATAGTCATTCCTGATGCCAAGTATGGCTGTAAGATTTTTTTCTTGTGGACATATTTTTGTAAATGTAGAATTCGTTTGTATTAGGCATAACATTCACACATTCTCATTTAGTTGACTTGTGGGTTTAACAGGAGTAGAAGAAAAAGGGGAAACAGTTTTGAGTTCATTGATCGACAACAGCTAGCCAGGGAGCATGAATTCAGTAACGGCATCGGCATCAGCATCAGCATACATTTCACTTTCACTTAGCATCTCGCCTCCTACTAGAAAAGCGTGGTCTAAATTTCTGCCAGGAAAATGCAAACCCCTAATATCATCCAATTTTGACTGCAAGTGCAGGGCTTTGGGAGAAGGCTCTCAGTCAGAGACGCAGTCCCAGACGACCCAACCTACAATTTATCAAGGCGTTTATGGCCCTTGGACAATCGAAGACTCTGATATTCGAGAGGTAGAACCAACTCCACCCTACTGTGCTGCGCACTTTATATTTTAGTTTAACTTGGAGTTGTACCATTTGAATTCGTTTCACAACACTGTTAAAGAAAATGTATGCAGCATACCTTAAATTTAATTGAAGGTTTCTGGCACTTTATGCTCATACAATAATATACTTATGCTTACTATTTCCCAAAGGAAGGATGCTAATATTAGCAATCTAACACACTGAAATTGGTTTGCATTCGTTTTGACAATGTTAATGAAGAAAAAGATTATCCGTTCGTGTTCACTAATTCTTTTCTGTTTTGTCTTTGTTACCATGTTCCCTGCCTGAATGAATTTTTTCTAGATAAAACAACTCTTTCTTCTAGCAACAATCAAGAAGGCTAACTTTCGATGATGCAAAGTTAATGTTAACAACTTTGCAGGTAATTTTATATAGATCAGGGTTAGTAACTGCGGCTGCATCATTTGTTCTTGCTTCTTCTACGGCTTTGCTTCCCAATGATTCAGTTTTGAGTAACTTGATTGAGAAAAACCTTGATTTGTTTTATGCAATTGGATCGTGTGGACTTGGCCTGTCATTATTTCTTATTCACATTTATGTGACTGAAATCAAACGCTCTCTTCAAGCTTTATGGTTCCTGGGTGCTATCGGATCATTGGCAACATATTCTACGCTTGCTCACCCAGCTGGCATGAATCTAGTTCAATATGTTATCGAGAATCCAATAGCTGTTTGGTTTGTCGGACCACTATTTGCATCATTGACAGGACTTGTGTTCAAGGAAGGTTAGGTTCCAGTTACATCTTTATAAACATGCAGTTACAATTTCACCTACCACAGCACAGTATTATCAAATGGTTACTCATTTTAGATACCACATTAGCTAGTAGAAATAGTAATTTTTGTTTGCAAGTTGAGGTTTTGGAGATGTAACAAAATGTATGCTGATTATCTGAATAAAGGAACTTACTGATTGTCCCTTAGCTGTAGTTATCATGTGCAGCTATGATATATAACTCATATGTAACAAATTATACTTCTCTTAACTTACACTTTCTGTAGAACACTCGTTCATTTAAGGATCTCTGAGTTTATTTTTGTTATCTTGGAACAGGACTTTGCTATGGAAAGTTGGAAGCTGGTCTTCTGACATTTGTCATCCCTTCCCTCCTACTGGGGCACCTGGTAACGTTTTCAGCTATGCTGCTAGTCCTAAAATTTCATTCCATACAGAGTTATTTAGTGATAAACTTGAAATATACTTCTCCAACCTTAGCAATTGAAACATCAATCCTTCATCATCCGAAAATGACAACCTAAAGATCTCGAGATGTTCCAATCAGAACTTCTTTTTCCACAGCACTCAGATTGTTTGACTAGGCTTTCAAAAGTTAACAAAACCATTGAAACTAATAGAATTTGACTTCATAGTTCTATTTGTCCACCCAAGAAATTAAGGACATTATATTTTCCTGTTGAATTTGTTTCGTTTCATATATATACTAATGATCCAACTAGACTATCTTCTGGATTGTAGACTGGTTTTATGGATGACGGAGTAAAGATTACCCTATTGAGCACATGGTTGGCACTGTTTGTGGTCTTTGCTGGGAGGAAGTTCACTCAGCCTATCAAGGTAAGACCTCATCCATTTGCTTTGTTATTGTACTCTTTATCCTTATTTTTTCAAATTTAACAAAAGTAGCATATTTCAGGATCCCAGTGACAAGATCTAATCCACTTTGCGGATTTTATATTTCAGGATGATATAGGAGACAAATCAGTATTCATATTCAACGATCTGCCAGAGGAAGAAAAAGCTGATTTGATCAAGAGACTTGAGCAGCAATAATACACTAAACAAGAGCCATGATTAGGATGTTACACTTGGCTCAAAGAAAGGGAAATGAAGTGTATCGACTATGTATCAAAGAGTGATGAACATAAAGCCATCAGCCCTCGCCCTACAGTCAAGTCAGCTCCTTTCCTTCGCTACTAGGAACGTAAGCAACTTCTATTAGCGCCAGACCTTGAGTCGAGTTGATCATGTCCCCTTTCACAGCTATTCAGGAGTTGCAAAGCCAGATATCATGACAGTAGGAGTGTTAATGTTAGAAGCCAGTTGCATTAGTAGCTCTATAGATTGATGTCAAAATAGCTGCAATTGTTAAGTTTGTGGGTGATAGTGAAGAAAAAAATATTGTACTTGGATTTAAATACAATTCATCCTATCTTTTGTATGTATGTTATTATATTGTATTAAAATTTATCATCTTTAATCTGGTGAATAAAATTACTAAGAAATACAACTTCTTTAGTCAAATCAGTAGTCATATTTTTGAATAAATGAGTTTGGAATTCATAGCTTTATTTTTTCTTAAAAACTTAAGGTGTAACATGCATTAGCTAATTAGAAATAAATAAACATTGATTCATCTGAATAAAAAGTGTATAAGACATATTTTTTTTAAAACATATAGCCAAACGGTACGAAGTCAAAGTCGTCTTTGTTAGGGAGTGTTTTATCAAGAGATTTTTCGATGCGAATTTGAATTTAGTCGGGTTTCAATGTGAGTAACGAACACCGAATGAAAAAAAAAACATACAGCCAAACAAATATTGAAAGATAAATTTTTAAAATTCAATCCGAAATCTACCACCAAGCTTAATTTAATTGAGTGACCCCTAAGAAATAAACTCTAAATTAACAAAGTACTTATTTTTTTTCACCACTCATTGAAACAAAACACATCGTGCCGAGGAGGAAGAGAAGAAGAAGAAGAAGAAGCAAGAGAGAGCCTATACCCAGTTCATGGGGAGATGGAGAGCTGCTAACTTTGTAGCTCGTATTGTTGCTAAATCTAGATCAATCCAACCCACTCCTCAAAACCCATTTCAAAAAATCCGCAATTTTTCATCAGTTTCAGTACCCACGATTCAATTCTTGAATTTCAGGTCTTTTTCTGCTGCCCCAGCTACATATCCACAATATGTGGATGATTTTGAGTATAAACCTTATAAGATTGATAATACACAATCTTTGGAGTCCGAAGATGATGATGGAATCGGAAAAATTCCTGTCAAAGCTTACTTCCTTTGCACGAGGTATTGATTTGTGATTTTTTATTTGTTTGTTTTGTTATATAGTTGTGTCATGATTAAAAAGAGGGGTTTTTGAGAGGAGGGTGTTTGTTGCTTAGGTGTTTCGTTATTGGCGAATAAATAAAGAAACGATTTTTTTGTTTTAACACCTCTGGATGATTTGCTGTTTTGGTATAATTAGTTAAGGTTTGAGGTAGTGGTAGAGTAAATTGTGTGATTAATTATGATATTGGAACAGTAGGTGGTTTCTTCCCATATGTCCTAGCCTTAATGAATAGAGTTTAGCAATGGTAGTCGAGGTGTGTGCAAGCTGGTATAGACACCACAGTTATCAAAAGAAAGTTTTGGCCTTGGAATAATGGGCAGATTTATTTTATAAGCTACGGGTGCTTACAATAGGTTTGGTTTAGACTAGGTATATGTGTAACGACGGAATAAGTACAATAATAGATTTGTGATTTAGTTATTTGTTTTGTTTTGTTTTGTAGTTATATCGTGCATAAAAAGAGGGGTTTTCGAGAGGAGGGTGTTTGTTATTGGAGAATGAATCAAGAAATGATTTTTTTGTTTTAACACCCTGGATGGTTTGTTGTTTTGGTATACTTGGTAAAGATTTCAGGTAGTGGTAGAGTAAATTGTGTGATCGGAGGTCTAGAATTATGGCATTGGAACACTAGGTAGTTTCTTCCCATATGTCCTAGCCTTGGTGGACAGAGTTACCTTTGCTAGCGGGTGGTACTCGAGGTGTGTGCAACTGGTACAGACACCACGGTTCTATTTTATAAGCTACGGGTGCATAAAATAGCTTTGGTTTAGACTGTTTATGTGTAACAATGTTATAAGTGCAAATAATACGTTGTCATTTATTTGTTTGTTTCGTTTTGTAGTTATATCATGCGTAAAAGAGGGGTTTTCAAGAGGAGGGTGTTTGTTATTGGTGAATGAATCAAGAAACCGTTTTTGTTTAACACCCCTGCATGCTTTGCTGTTTTAGTATAATTAGTAAAGATTTCAGGTAGTAGTAGAGTAAATTGTGTGATTTGAGGTCTAGAATTATGGCCTTGGAATCATTGGCGGATCTAGTGAATAAGCCATGGGTGTGTATACAGTAGCTTTGGTTTAGACTATGTATATGTGTAAGAACGGAATAAGTATAAATAAAAGATTTTGAATATTGTAAATTAGATGGGTTGTGGTATAGTTATGAATTTTGAACCTATAAAGTTTAAATTTTGGATCCCCTTTGCTTGGAATGGTGTATTCAAGCTTAAGCCTTGCTGGCCTAATTGCGTTGGTGTTCCTACTTTACAAATGACTGCAAAAGGCCACTTGATAATAGTTGTTATTAATGATACAATTCATTTATAGTAACCTACTGACAATTTTCTGTGGTGCTATTTCATGGTCACAAAAAGATGACCTCGTCACTCGTCCTGTATATTAAGTGTTTTGGGATTCACTACCTCTTTCACTATTTACTATCAATGCATTTTCTTCTTTATTTCATGCTTTCTCAGATTCATCGTTTTGGCAGTATTGATTTGAAGCGCATGCAAGCTGAAATTCCAAGAGACGTTCTTCCGTCATCCTCCCGTTCACCCAATCATATTGCCCTCAGATTTTTCAATCTTCTACCAACAAATACTGTAAGAAGAAATTCTAGACACCAAGCTCTTTTGTTGTTATGGCCTGAAGTAATGAACTTATGTCTCTATCATTCTATGATTAGAAGTGCATCTTTCAAGATTATTTCAAGCCCATATATATTATGTGTGCATATGTATAGTGTCAAGAAACAATCATGTTATTGTCGTCAGGTATTTTGGTAGGCTCCTATTACTTTTATGAATAGTAAAAAGCCTTATCAGTAACATGATAGTTTAGTAGATTACTCATATTCATGAATCTCTCATTTGCTTTTCACCTTGTATAAGAGAAAACAGTTGTTTAGTCTTGAATTTGAGAAGCAAATTCCATACGTCATTCATGATAGAAGTAGGATATACTAACATCAATAGATGATTCTTAAGAGGAGAACCATTCAGTCCAAGTACATACCATGAAACAGTTAGAATTCTTCAAACTTCTTATACAACCAAGGATTATATTCTTATTTTTAAGTTTTTTCTTTTCAGCTAATTTGTACTTTCTGAAAATGTTTCCTCAATAATAAACATAGGTTATGCTTTCACACAATAACAAACAAATAACAACTATTCACTACCCTTAAATTGCTCAAGATTTCAGAGTCTACATTCATATCAATTCTTCTTCCTTCTGCTGCTCATTTGAAGCAACACTAACAGTAGAAAGCCATAAAGCTTGTAGAGGTGTTCTGTAACATAAAACAAATGTTCCTTATGTGCGCATTCCGTGTACATTTAGTGAGTCGGGGCGATGGCTTAATATAGTAGGGGTGTGTCAACTGCTGCCTGCCGTTGAATCATAGGTACCCCACAGTCCGCACCCCAAATTGAGTTAGTGAGCCTGTTGTAGGTGACCAGTTAGTTCATGGGGCACTTCAGCCAGCTGGCATGACTTATTAAGACCATTAGGCGAGTTTGAAATATTGTGTGTGTTTAGGTGCAACTCAACCTTTAATGTTGTATAATAATGGCTACTACAACACATAAAAAAGAGGTGTCTGTCTTGCTCATATGTTGTTGTTGATCTTTTGCTCATTTATTTGAATTGAAAAAAAAATGAAGACTGAATGATTTACCTATTTAGTCTATGTTGGCCCGTCTTATGCTTTTGGTTGGCCAGTTGAGCTTTACATTTTATCAACCTCTTCATTGAACATCTTGCAGTCTTTATTCTTTCTTTTTTTTAAGAAAAAGTATAACAGCTTGATATCTTTGTTATTTTTAAACTATAAGTTCTCTTTGCAACGATACTTGTTTAATTTTCTCTCTTGTAGCCTTTCCTATGCACATAATTAACAACAGAGAGAGGATTATATTTGTCCTGGCTTTTGTTCTGTTCTTTGGAGGGGAATTTAGTTATGCATTGCCATGATGGCACCATTTATTTGGAGTATGCAGTATCATATATGAAATTCTTGTGCCTGAATGGACTATCAATGCACTGGGTCTTTTTTTCATAATTTAACCTTTGTTTTCAGCTCCTTAGATTTGGAGGAAACACAAATGGTTGCAGTTATATGGTTGTATTCCAGTATGGTTCAGTTGTCCTGTTCAATGTGGAGGATGATGAAGCTGAGTACTACTTGCAAATTGTGAGAAGATTTGCATCTGGGTTGCTACGTGAAATGAAAAAAGATGGTTTGTTTTTTATGTGAAACTTCATAGTTTCATCTTATGTTCTTCTGCAATTGTTTATCTGAGAGAATTAGATATATGGGAAACCAAACATAATTAATATAGATATATAAGGGGTGCTCCCTTCCTATATACTCATACATACATAGGAAAAAGTGGGGGGAAATAGAAAGTAAGTTTGAGTTGACTAATTAAGCATATGAAGATCTTAATTCATTCTATGTGTGTTAGACTACGATAACATGGTTGGTTTAGCAACTAACAATTTCGGTCAGCTAATTAAGGTCAATTATGTGATACTGGGAGCTTGCTTGGACTGAAGAGAATGAAAACCATATGATTCTTTGTGGCATTTCAAGCAGTGCCTAAAACAAAATGTTCTTTTTGATGACATAAATATTTTTTGATGACACCTAAAACAAAATGTTCTCTAAATAGCTTCTGGTTATTTTCTTCCACTTAATACAGATATACATGCCAAATGCTGCATCTTTACACTGCTTACTTGTAATCTTCTCTTTCGAGCATTCTTTCTACCAGCTACAATATTTCTCTTATTATGAAGGCCTCTTCACTTTCTATCAGACTATGCCGTAAAAGAGAAGCCATTGCTAGTTGAGGATATGCAGGGAGGCGCAGATCACATAGTTCTGAAAAATTTGGACACAGATAGTATTCGTATAATAAGCAGTGTGCTTGGCCAAAGTATTGCCCTTGATTACTTTGTCTCACAGGTAAATATTCCAGAACTTGTTTATGGTTGAACCAACTAATGGTAACTGTTTGAGAATCATACAACTCTTACTGTCACCATCTGGAAAAGCTGAGAAGCATGTTTCAATAAAACAGACAGCACAAAATTGTAATGATAAGTAGAAAGAGATTGGCTAGTAATTCTAACTTCAATGAAATTGGATGCTATCCTGCTTGTAGGTTGATG